TTCTCGGCAATCTGAGCTTCTAACCCTCTACGGAACTGAACCTGTCTCTTCTTTTTCAACCTGGGTACATCGCTCATCATAACAGCAATAACAAGGGTGCTTACCGAACGGTGAGGGCCGCGCGTTCGTCTTCATGTCTGTGGCGATCGCCATAGGTTTCTGTTCGCACTCTTATCATGCCTAGTGGACCAATGTCCACTAAAGGCGAGGAATATACCGGCGAGTTCTCCACCTAAATTCGAAGGTTAATTCCCTGAGGGTCCAAAGGGAGTCAATAGAGAGAAAGGTACTGTTGTTGACGTACAGTGCCAGTCACGACAAGTGCCGAGTTGTCCAGCGTATCCTCGATCGGGACCAACAACCGGCTGATGGGTTCGGCCGCGCTGCAGACGTACTCGTCCAATGCATCAAAGGAGCCTGAGCATGAGTGGTGCGCCACAAAATATTCATGCACAGGCAACCCACTGTCCCGAGTATCGGGCCTCTCAGGAAGAAGTGCCCATTCTCCCCCCAAGTCGACAGTACGACGCCTCAAGGCATCCTCGGCCTTCCTCTCAGCCTCACGACAAAAGGCCTTGACAAGGCGCAAGAGGTGTTCCCGGGCTTCAAGACCTCCGCCATGCTGGCGCTGCTCGATGACACGCAGAAGCCTTTTCAGTCGTAGGACGTCGACGTCAACAGGCGCATCTTCAGAGGCCGAGCCGAAGATCTCATCGAGTGTACCGAGGACCCGACACAACTTCTGTCCCCTCCTGGCCAGACCCATGACCCCGTCAAATGACTCTCGGTCGAAGGGCAGCAACTCCTCGGCTAGGATGGCATCGAGCTCCTCCCGGACTTGCATTGGCAGCTTGAGAGCCTTGAGCCCAGTGATGATGTTCCCTGCCCTTGGTGCCCAACAGAGATAACACCGGGCTGTACCACATCGACAGACCAGGCGTCTATCGTCAATACTACGGCAAGGGAAAAGTTTAGAGGCGGCCCCCTGTACGGCAAACTTTGCACACTTCACCATTTCAGCTCTCCTATCGCGACTCAATGGATTCACAGGGAACCCCCGAATGATCCCTGACCGGGACTGTGCATGGCCATGTATAGAATCCCAGGAGACAGGAGGTAGAGTCGGCTCTTCTGAGATGGATAACCACTCATGCCCTGGAGGGCTCGGGGGTGCCGAAGTGGCTGCTTCCGAGCGTAGAGGCTTGCTACAGGGTTGCAATATCGCA